CTGGTTCGCGGTGAGGGCGCCACGTACTCGGTCGCATTTGCCGCGAGTGCACACGTATGCACTCTGCTCGCGTGCAACGTATCGTTTCTTCTCTTCCCTCTCGCTCTTTATATTCCAGCGTGTGTGTGTGTGTGTGTGTGCAGAGGTAGTTGCAGTGAAATACGTGTGTTCGTAGGGTCTATTCAACTTTCTCTACCTTCTTCCTCTATTCATACGTATTTTCGTATGGATAAATCGTACCTTCGGAAAATATTGCCACTCGGGTCTTGCGATTTTCTCTCGAGAACGTCGAAAGAAATTTTTTTAAGACGATGGATAAACCGATAGAGGATTAACCTGTCAACTGAATGTATTTCTTGCGGGAGAAGAAAGTGAAGTATTTTGAGCACGTGACCGAGAATTGATGCAAATTTTAGGGTGCTAGATTAGAGACATTTTGTCGATTGATTGTTTTCGTGGAAGAATGTTTTAGGAATGTTTGAATTAATTTTGTGTGCAGAGTTCGCTCTGATAATTTAGATTTTACATAAATACAGTATGTAAGAAAAATTCTTGGATTCACAATCAAATTGCAAGAGATCTTTGTTTTCTAATTTTAGACGTTTCACTCAACAGCGACACTACCTTGAGATTTTTTTTAATTTTGTACATTTTTCGGTAATTTATGAAGTATCGGTGCTTTGCTTTTTACCGCCTTCCGTTCGACCATAATAAATCAGTGAACTCAGAATCCGGGAATTTTTATTACATACTGAATGAGAAATAAAACTAGTCAATCGCTGTTCTAAATATTGCTCACTCGAATATTTCACTTATCGTTCCTCAGTTAACAAGCTAATTTACATTTCTCCAATACGTCATCTCGAAAAATCTTCCAAAGAAACGTAGACATTTTTTGAAAATTTTGAACACTTTAGACATTTCACTCAGCAGCGTGGCAAACTTAAGATTTTTTAAAAAATTTAAACATTGTCCGCTAACCTTACGAAGATACCAAGCTTTCCTCTACATTCCATTCACCGCAATCCACGAATTTGCGTTACATACTCGATAACAAATAAAACTAGAAATAATCACCGTTCTCACTCGAACATTTCACTCATCGTTCCCCGGTTAAACCAACTCAACTTACATTTCTCCAATCCTTCGACGAACACACGATTTCGAGCACCGAAACTAATTCCACGCGAATCACACATTCGACGAGAAACCAACCCGGATCACTCTTCGGAAAACCGGAAGAAACGTCACAGCAACGGCACCGTTTCTCGGAATAAAGCAGCGGAAAGGACGCGAGAGTCGTGCGGCACAGAGAAACGCGGAGGGCGCGTGCCGAAATTGAAACAGGAAACGAGAGGAGAGAAAGAGAGGACTAACGGTTGATCGTAAGTCAAGAAAGCACTCTGGGCCGCTTAAAAGCCCCCGCGTCTAGCAGGACGGGAAAAGAAAACGACGAAGGGACGCTAATTCATAGCTGGGCGAGGGACTCGAGGCGAATCGTGATCCGGACGCGCCTCCTCCCTGAGTCGTGCACTCGCGCGCCTCATGCCGCGAGCCGTATGGAAATTTTCAGCGACGGTAATGAGGCTTAAGGGACGGTTGTGCAATCAGTGCCGCGGTCCAACTCAATGGAAACAATGTTGAACGCGGGGTCTCGCGTTCGCGAAAATGAAATTCCACGCGCTAGTTTCGCAATTCCGCTGCCCCTCTACTTTACGCGCCGTTTATCACCGGCCCGCCTTGCTTTTGTTAATGAACGTCAAACTGTCTTTCCCAAAGCGCACCACCGACGCCTCCTCCGCCGCCGCGACAATCCACGGAGCCTTCGTCTTCTCTGATTAAACGAAAACACTGGATCACGTCGTCGAGAACTTTTCCACTGTGAAACCCTCTCGAGTGCCCTACACCGTCCTAACGCTCGTACTGTCGTTTCCCATTAACTTGCAGCTGACCACCGACGACACCCGGCCGAAAAAGAAAGGGTTACCAGAACGACGGTCGTCTCGTTAATGGAAAGGATCGATCGATTTTTTTTTTTTCATTTTTTTTCGACGCGACTGCTTTTGTTTTGGAGTAATGGAACGACCGTGGGACACGTAGGGGGAAGTTTTTAGGCTGCGTGCAAGAGGGAAAGTTTGACAGATTGTTTGAGTGATTATTCGGGGTAAAGTGGTATATAGTACACGTGGATTACGCTACTTACGTAAATGGTAGTATTTAAAGAGGCAACACTGTCAATTATATAGCTCCATTTAATGAAATTCGTACGAACAATGTGTAATTTGAAAACAATTATCGTAATAGTGAGAGGATAATGAAGATCGAGATGTTATTACGCGGGCAAAAAGAATTTCAGGTAAAAATAATTTTTTTTTTTTCGAAGACAAGAGTAATCGAGGCTAGAGTCGAAAAATTGTTTTCGTGCACACCAGCCGAAAATACCACCGGTATCCGCGTGTACACCGCGCGATATTACACGCGAGTGCGTTGAACGATAACCGAGGATTTAAGCAGGAAATTACGTATCTTATCAGCAGCAGCGGCGGCGGCGTAATTATGCGAATTCATTTAATGGTGTTCAATCGACTTCGAAAACTCGGCCCCCTCGGCCAAACACGGCACGCGATGAATAAAGGTCCTCTCCGTGCGCGCGCGCGCGCTCCTGCCGCCGTCGAACCAAACGTAATTCCCCCGCGAAAATTGCTTTTAAAAAAATCCAATTCCCGCAGCTCGTGATTTCGCCCGCGAGAGACTCGGCCGAAATTCACGCCTCTCCTCCTCGCGATCCGTTTCGATCGAATACCCTCACGTCCACGATCCGCGGGAGCTCCGCGTGTCGGTAACTTCGAAATAATCACTCTGCTTAAGGAAAGAAAAAAAAAGAAAGTAGACAAATGGGAAAAAATAAATCCGCACCCTTTTTCCCCCGGTGAAGAACGTCCGATATCGCCGTAAATCGATTAAGACGAACGAACGAAAACGCTTCCAACTTCTCAGCCACCGTATGTTAAAAACTCGAACTCTTATTTATTTCTTTCTTTTTCTTCCCCGTTCGACGGACAAAAGGGAAATATTCACCGGGCAACGTCGACAACGACAATTTCACCGTGCGAGAAACGAGGATCTCGCGTCGCGGTTCCGAGACACTTGTCGTATCCGGCGGCGCACTCTCGAGCTTCGAAGCTCGGTTCGAGACGAAGCGAACCGACGGGAACACGCGACCAGGGAGAGCCCCACTCGGAAACTCGCGTCTCGCGAGCAGGCGGCGTAATACCGCGTAGCCGCGGACCGCGGCGAGACACGTCGACGAGCCACGGAGGGAACGAGGGTCCTCGGGCTTCGTGCGTTTCCGCCGTGGCTCGGCGCTCCCCGACACCCCCGGTCGCCGTTCGAGTCTGCCGACGCGAGACGAACGGCCGCGACACTCCGCTCGGCCGACAGACGCGTCCGCGACACCGAGCAGGAAGGTACTGTTCTCTCTGCGTTCACGGGACTCGTCTCGACGCAGCTCGTGCCTCTACTCTAGACCGATTCTTCTTCGTTACATCTCTTCCACCTGGATAACGGCGCGACTATATAAAACGGTCATACCGGGGCTAGAGATAACAGGAAAGAAGAAGAAGAAGAAACAGTTTTTGTTTTTTTTTTGTTTTTCACAGTGCTCGATCTCTATACTGGATACTTATAAAAAAAAACACACACAAATCTGCCACTGATCGCCGTGTACCAAGTGGGAGAGGAGATACGTTCGCGTGGTGGACAGTGAGCGTCGCTCCGTTGGCTGGCTACGCGACCCGTGCGAATTGCAAGTGCGTGAGAAAGTACGGGGGTGTGCTTGCACCGAGAAAAAAAAAGGATACCGTTTCGTTTCGCTAGCTTTCTTGTGCTCTACTCCCGTGAGATTCTACTAGTGCGATCCTGAACGATCGGAGTTTCTTGTTCCTCGTTCCTGGTTGGGGGAAAAAAAACCAGGAAGATCACTCTACTACGGTGCAAGGAGAACTGGTGCTTCCTATATTCAGTGTTTCTCGATAGAGTTCTTTTTTTTCTAAACAGTGAGAAAACCCATTGGATATTTCTTTGTGAAACAGTTTTCATCCTTGTTCGTCGGTTATTCGTGTTGGATCGTTGGTAAAAAGGAGGATACCGCTGGTGAGATGCTTAGCAAGTTCACGGTTGTACGGTGGTTCGCGTGATCCCGTCGCCAAGCGTCGGATACATTTCCTGCATTCGTCGGAGCATCCACGCCTCCCTCTTCTATCCTTGGATATATTTTTTCGTTTTTTCTTTTCCACTTCGAAAAATTCATTTCTCCGATGTGCGACAAATTCGTCTTGGCTATCGGACGAAATTTCTCATCGACGGTTCGTCGTCGTTTCGATCGGATTACGGCCAAGTTGGACAAATGAGAGGGTCAGCAAGGTGTACTCCAGGTGAGAGAAACACGGGGTGGATCCATGGAACGTGTACATTGGTGGACACCGCTCGAAGAAACCGAACATCGGAGAAGTTTCATCGGTTCTAACGACCAGTCGCCGATTACCGTGGATACCGTCGAAGAATCTCGCGACTCGTGAAACGAACGATCCACGACGATCCACTCGTTCCGTTATACCCTTCGATCGAGGAAATAACAGCGGCAGCAAGAGTGTTGTATACAAAGTGTGTGGATAGGCTGTTCGCCGTAAGTTCGACGGATTCTTGGGAATGCTTCGAGGATAATCCAAGGAAAACAAGGATACGCGACACGCATATTCTCGCTGTTCGACGTCGAAAAAAGAGAAAGAAAAAACGAGGCGAGAGTAGAAACGATTTCGCCGAGGATAGTGTGTATTGTTTGTGTGGATGTGGTGTACGTGCAACAGTGGTGGTAGGTGGTTGTGGACGACGACAACAATAAAGGTGCAGGTGTCTTTGTCGTCGTAGTTGTTGTTATTCATCGTTGTTGTCGTCGTTTGTTGTTTCTCGATATTTGTTGTATTACTTCGGTGAACGGTGGTGACGCGGTGCGCGCTGCTCGTTCGTCCACGTTGTTACGATGGTTTCCACGTCCTTTGTGACTTTGGTGTTCCTCGTCTGTCTGCAAACCGTTCTACTCTCCACTGTGAGCAACTGCGCAAAGACGATCAGCATGTACTGGAACACCACGAATTCCATGTAAGTGTTTTATACGCCTGAATTTCTCATCTTCGAAAAAATCGTGAAAAATCGTGAAAAATAAAATCGCACGCCACGTGAGTTTTCGTCAAAGTGTGTATGCGTGTGCGAGTGAGTGACTTTCTTTTTTCCACCGGAATTCAGTTAATCAAAGTGTATCGCGAAAATATGCCGGTTGGCACGCGTGCCAAAGCGACTCGAAAAACGTTGCACGCCGGGGAATCGATTTCTCGCGGCGTCGTCGTCGTCGCTTTTGAGTAACAACCCTCAGCTTCGTCCGCTTCCGGCGGAGCTTTTATCGCGTCGAGCCGTGGTATCGCGTCTGCCAAAATTACAGGGTGCATCGTGACTTCACATACGCTTTAATGCTCCCTCGGAATAGCCCGTGCCATGGGGATCGTCGTTCGAGCGTCGACGTCGTCCAAATCGTCGACGATAAAGCCGAAGGAACAGCGATTTCCAACGGCTAGAAATACGGGAAATTGCGCTGTTTGTGTGTGTGTGTGTGTGTGTGTCTCGCGAACCGACCAATTTCCTGCATAACCGGGGGTGCTTGAAATTTCCCTAACTGCTTGTAAAATTCGTGATTCAGCCGTGTCGCAGCTTCTTCTCGCGCTTCTATCGCAGGAAAACGAAAATTTGCCCGTGGAATTTTAAAGTGTTCGCTGTGCTCCGGCGAGATTTGTGTCGGTGGTTGCGTGCACCACAGTTGGCTGTTTAACCGCTCGAACAGCGTGTGACAGGTGAAAAATGTCAAAATATATTAAACCGCGTTTAGAGACCGTAATTTTGCGGTACGCGTGTGACTGGACATTATAGGGCAATAGGTTAAAGCGCTCCACTCAACTCCGTGTGCACTGTATCCGTGGGAATTTTTCTCTCTCCGTGTCCGCCTGGATATTCGCTAAAATTGCAATTTTCACGGTGTACATATTTTTTCGCGCGCGGAGAAAACGATAGAAAAAAAGAGCGCGTTAATTTTGAGGAAAGGGGCGAATAAAGGGACAAGATCGATGAATCGTGCACGCGGAACAATCGACCGTAAAGTGTTAACTAGAGACGTTATCGTGGCAGGAAGGTATGAAGAAAAAAAAAAAAAGAGGAGAAAAATGGTACGATTCGGTGTGTATGAAGCTCGTCAAAATTCCGCGTGACGAGTTTCGTATTGCAGCACCGCCATAGTTTCACGCGAGACGTGTAAATCTGGCCACGTAACGAGCCTCGTTACTTTATCTGGAAAAAAAATCTATAAACGCGTTCTCCTGCTCGCTTCCTGCTCGTAAGACCCGGCGAAATCGGTGTGCCGGCTCGTCAAACCGAAGCGGCAGACCCGATTCACACTGCCAATTAAATCCACATTACGTGGTTAATCTAATTTGTCACGGTATTTTTCTGCCTTGCCGTCCCGTTCTGTTCACGCGCGAATCAGCGACAAAAAATCACTCCGGTCGTGTGTCAGAAGGTCCGAAAAATTCACGCGTAAAGGATGACTGTTTAGATTTCAGGATTGAAATAGTCCAGGTTACCGTGTATAACAGTTATTCTGTCGACGAATTCAGCTCGATAAAAGGCTCGTAACACGCTCGTCTTTTCTTTTTTCCCTTTTTTTTTTTTTTTCTTATTACGAGGTAAAACGACGTCCATATACGCAGGAGCTTGTTAGTCGAGCAATTTCTTTCGCTTTTTTTCACCGTGTAATCTCTGTATCCCGCGATATTTTTTAACATCGCGTCTAGGCGTAACGCGTGAATCTTCGCGACTAGCGTCAAACATTATAATCGACGCTGTACAATACGTTTTTTTCTTCCCTCTCTCTCTCTCTCTCGTCCACCACACTTGCCGCCCCTTTCGTGAAGCGCGAAAAACCTGCTTGGGTAATTTTCTCGATCGCCTCGGAATTTCTTGCCGATCGTTTTCTCGAACGCCGTCGTCGCATCCAGCCGAGCTAATTCGATCGGAGAAGGAACGCTCGTAAAATGAAATTTTTGCCTGACGCCGCGATCCCCTTTCGCTTGCCAAGTCTCTCAAGAGAGCGAGAGAGAGAGAGGCCAGTTGAAGATCCACGAAAATTACCAGAAAGTGGTATGGAGCGATCGAAAGGGCATAATCAAAGTTGCGCCGTAAAGAATCTCGTTAAATTACGATAGGAACGTAAAGCGAAATT